CTGACCTGCTGCTCCACTGAGGCTTCAGGTCTGTTGAAGAGGGAGACTGAAGCCGGCCGGGCGAGGATTCTGGACCCCCCACGCAGCTAGAGACAGACAAACATTTTCAATTACAAAATATTAAAATTTTACACATTGAAGTTAATAAACTAAAAGACTTGCATTCAATTATTATTTTTAGAATAGGATCAGCGGCTATGCAAGGTATACAATGGGCATAAACACTGCAATCCTTCTTGCATGAAGTAAAGACTTTAACATCCATAACACTGGATCCTGTCAAAAATAATGAAAAGCAGAATTTTAAAAAGCAAATGTATAAAATGATACGTTTAACACGTGTTCAAGTTACTGTAACAGGTCAAAGTAAAACGGATGAACCCAGTTACAGTGATTCCATAGTGGTTGCTCAATCTGAAGAGATCTCGTTACACTGTTCTACCATGGCATCTATCCCATAATCTTTCTGGTTATAATTTCATCACTGCAGGCAATTGTGCAAAGCATTAACCAAACAGATGTAGTGTTCATTTCGCATTATTAAAATGTCAGAATGAATGTCCATAATGATCACCCATAGAACTACATTAAGGTGCCCAACTGCACTGCAGTGATTTTCAGAGGGTCCTTTGACCTCCACAGCACCTCCATGACTGAGATGCCCTACATGCTGCAGGGTCGGCTGACAGCCACCAGCTGGGCAACTGAAATACAGAGAACTGACAAAACATGGCTGTGATTCATAACTACTGTGTCCTTGAACACAACAAAGGGTGCCAAAAGTTGATACAGACATGACACTGCAATGTAACATTGTGGGTTCCGTGGGTTGGTTTAAATAAATCCACAATATAAACTACATTACAGTTTAAAGCTTTACAACTCATTTTCCCAACAAAACATGTATTGAAAACATGATTCTGGAAAGGTGTAAAAGATGACTTACCACAGCTGGAGAAGTGACGAACTTGGCGCAGGCGTACATGGCTGGAAGCTGGAGAGAAAAGTGACAGTACAAGAACATTAAGACAGTTTGAAGAATAAAACCATTCAATTAAAGTCATTTTAATTACATTTGTTTGAATCTAAATACAAGCATTTTCTGCTCTCCCTTTATACTAAGTGTTTTTTAGATAACAATTTCTTTCATTTGGAGTTTAACCTTTTTATTCTTCACTGGATGTGTTGCCATTTTATGTAGTCAATTCTAATTAATCAAGTAGTAGATACTTGTTAAAGCTGTTTAGCAATCATATATTGCACTTTCGAGATCATATAGACTGTTCACACCACCAACAGCTGCCAGACAGGTGTTACAACTATATACACATTGCAGGTGCTTAAACAATGAGTCCCAAGGACAAATTGAATTCTTGTTCATCAGGGGACACTTCTTGAAATTGAGCAGCCTTGCTAAATGAACAGGGTCCAGAAGGAGGCTGCTGCTCTGTGCCATTGATTTTTTCTTCTGACCTGCAGCTAAACAAAGAAGCTACCTTATGTTCACAGCTCAGGGTCAAAGGACAAACACTCATCCAAGTAGTTCTCCCATGGGAAATAAAGCAGTTCCTGGCTAAATCAGACACAATCCACAGAAGGGATATAGAGTATGCAAAAGGACAAGTCAAGAAACAAGTTGATCCAGAAGAAACAGGTCAGTTGCTCCTGTCCAGCTCAGACAGAGGGTTAATCCAATTGCACAGACTACTGCAAGGATCAACTCTAAATAAACCGCTAAATGTGCACACATGCTGCACAATGAATGGCTTTAACACTCCCACTTTCAGACGCCATTAGATGAAACCTCGAGGAAGTTGTGAGGCAAAGTGAAAAGCGATTTGTGGAAACACTAATATATTTTACAATTGCTGCAGTGCAATAATGCAGGTTAACTCACATTGTTATGACCCCTGCTTAGCCCTTGGTTTGGTTGTAGAGCAGTGGAAGTGGAGGATCTAAGCTAAGTTGCTAAGCTAACCAGTTCTGCAGACTTGAAGGTCAAAAATGAGCCACATACGGTCACATTGGGCCTGGACAACCGAGGACAACCCCTGCTGTAATGAAACGTTACCGTGCTGTAGTGCATTGGCAACGGGAGATGTGACTCCACCAGTCTCAGACAGAGATGTCCTTGTAGCAGCAGAGTGGTTCGGAGCTCGGTAGGCCCAAAGTGTCAGACATTTTACATTCAAGCCCCTGTCAACGAAGCCTGCTCGCGCTGTTCTGTGTGACCCACGACTTGCACCAGCAGTAACGTCGCATCTGACACATGGACTGGGCAAAACACAATTCTTGTGTCACATAGGTGACTGAAGAGCACACGTGACTATAGCTTCAGAGCTCATTCCCACAACCAAGTCATTGAATGGCCGACGTAGCTTGCTAGCTACCAAATGTTAGCAATGACAGCTAGCTTTCCAAACTATTCCTTACGACTCGCACGGTCGATTTTTAACGCCAGAAGCAGATGCATTAACAACACAGACTAAAGTTAGAACATATGAAGTGTATGAGATATGAAAGGCATATCTTACCGGTTTGTTACGGCTTTCGGAGGGTCCGGGATAATCTGCTCGAGCACACAGCGACAGTCAATGAATGTAGGAGAGGAAAGAGTGTCACCTTGTTATTTATAAGCTCACCGTCTACGTCCTAAACGCTCATTGGTCAGAGAGAACCCTCCTTCGTTCATCATTCGCTCATAATCATGTGACAGTTTTCTGTCTAGCCTATGGGGTAGAGCTTTATTGAACTACCGTGTTTATTTACTGGCAGGGAGGTTTCCTAGGGCGGGACTAAAGATCTTTCATTAATTTAATTGGACAGGATTGCCGGGAATGACGAATTTAGAAACAACCTTTCAAAGCACATCCAGTGTCCTATGTACCTATTGGTTAGTCTATGGGAAGTCCCGCCTTAAAACAAAGGAACTGAAGTTACCGAAGCCTCATCCCAATACCCCTCCTCGGCCCTTTCTCACTTCTCTTATTATTCATTTCCTCGCTCCTCGGTCTCATCGGAAGTTGATTTGTCTGCGCCACCTTGAGTAGCGTCCCGATGGCCTTATTTTTGCCGGAGGAGCGAGGAGCGAGGAGCGAAAATAGAGGAGCTATAATCGAGGAACCACCATCCTCGGGGATAACGGGGGGCATAACGGGGACTTTGGGCCCTTCTCACTTCGGTTAAATGGATTCCTTGCGTCCCTCACTTGCGTCGTTTCCCTGTGATTAGTCCCTCCCACCAGGGAAGCATGCGAGACGCAAGGAAACCACGAGAAGCAGGGAAATTAGTTTTAAGAGCAATGGGACGTCCTTTCCTCCGGAGCGTCACGTGAAGCGACGTCGTTTGTGATGACGCTGCACAGCTGATCGTCTGACAGCAGCCAGCTCTGTCCCCGTTATTTCCACACACACCCCCGCCTCTGTTAGTACACATTTACTGACACAAACATTTGTATCATCTGTTGTAGACCCAAATAAATAAAATAAAATAAGAACTAATTCTCAAAAAAGATAAACGCCATTCTTAAAATGTATAAACGAACAATAGTTTGATTAATATTGATTAGAGTGCACAAAAT